GCAAAGGCAGCGTCTGTGATCTTTACCTGTAAGATCCCGCCGCTTTAACGTGCGTGCACCATAAGCGTGCCCCTCCGCGTTGTCTGCCTGGCACAACGGCTTCCGCTGACCTTGGCCATCTCTCGGTTGCCTTCTGGTAACGGGGATTGTGTTCCGGGCTGGATATGGACCTGTCACTGCTTTTGTAGTAACTTGGCTTCTAGAGCCAAAATGTCAAGTTTATTTGTACTGACGTTTCTAATCGTTGGGTGAAACTTTGTGCATCAACAGCTGCTTTATTTCTCCTCTTTCAGTCGCGTCCCTGCAGGCGAGCAACCGCGAGGGAGGCGGTTGGAGAGGAAGGGGCGAAGGTGGCCCCTGGACTTCACTTCCACGACTGCTTTCTCTGGATAGTTTTTCCAATAGGAGCCTTCTGTTCTTTTTCCTATGAACCACTAAACGTGTGGGTCCAGTAACCTCCCTCCTGCGCCGCGCTGAGCTCAGGCTCGTGGCGCTGGCGCTGTCAGCGGGGCTGTATGTAAGGGCACGTATAAACGGACTGGCTCTCGTTTTGATGTTAAAATCATCCGCTCCTTCGAGTGGTTTTCTGTTCGTGGTGTGGTGAATGATGCTGCGGTAACAAACCCTTCTCAGCTTCTGTAGACAACGGTCCGGGTTGGTGGAGACTTTCCTGCGCGAGGTGGGGTTGGTGCATGGCTCAGCAGCGGCACGCGGGCAGCGCCTGACGGCCGGGTCTCGCTCCTGGTTTCGCGGTGAGTTTTGAGCGCTGGGCGCAAGGCCCCTGCAGAGGAACAACGGCACTGCCTTTGCTGTGGGGTTCTGCTGGTGGAAGTGGGCAAGAACTCCGTTTCTCATACCTGCATCCCAGCCTGTGCTAACCAGCTTCGGTTTCGGAGGGAGCTGGGCTTCTCTGCGCTGTGGTGAGGTAACATCGCCAAGGTTTGCGTTGCGCGTGGTCTCTGCCGCTGGAGCAGGCCCTGTGTTTTACTCTAAACCAGCACTGAAGCGGGCGGGTTTTCAAAGCCGCTTCGCGGTGAATGAGACGACGTGCGCACCTTCGCTGTGTGCTTTACCGCACGCGATGTGCCTGGTGCCCCAGCTGGCTGTGTCCTTTCATTCCAACGGTCGCTCTTTAGCGTAGCTCAAATTCTGCCGCTCCCTCCTCGGGGGGATCCTCAGCCCCTGCTCTGACCTGGGGTCCCTCCCATGGGAGACATTCCCCTACCAACTGCTCCACGTCAGTCCTTCCCACAGGCTGCAGTTCTTCCCGAGGTGCTCCAGTGGGTCCCCCCCATGGGGTGCCGTCCTTCAGGAGCAGCTGCTCCAGTGCTCCCTCTCCAGCGGTGCTCCCACCGCTGCTCACCGGCTCAGCACACACGGTCTTGAAAGGCTGGAGAGTTCTTAAGAAAGTGGCTGTGTGAATTTAGGAAGGATTGGTGCCCAGACCAGCGCTACGTACTCGCTCACCCTGCCTGCGCTGTCGCGAGCGTGCTGTGGTTCTGCCCAGCGTTGCCCCAGGTGCTGGGAGAGGAGCTTTTCTTGTCTTCTGTTGGTTGGTTTATGGGTGGTGGTGGTGGGTTTTGTGGGTTTTAATGACTGCGGTGCTGTTTCTGGCTGTAGGGCAGCTTTCCCACGTGTCAGGGCCGGGCTTTTGGGGAAGCAGCAGTGCCGTGTGCCAGCCAAGGGTGCTGCCCGTGGGCTTTCAGAAGAGGGTGTGACACGTCACTCACAAGAGGCACGAGCTGGTAGGTTCCGTGCTCGGTTTGTTCCCGTTGCCACAGAAACTGTGGTTCCTTGTTGCCGCAGGTGTTTGGGGGGAGCCTGCGGGTGCCCCCGGACCGTGACCGGCAGCGCAGGTTTGCGCTGGGGCAGCACTGATCACCCCGTCTGCGGGAGACGGAGGGGAATGTAAGCTGAGGGGCAGGAGAGGGGTGAAGGTTTTGCCCTAAAGCCACCATGAGCGCAGCTGGTCGGGCAGCGCGCCCAGCCTCGCCTTCCCTGGGGTGACGGTTCGTCTTTGGGATGATGGCTGAGGTTCTCGCAGGCGGCGCAGTACATCCCAAACCTTGCAAAGCGCAAGGGAGGAGCGCACTGATTTATACAGATACCTGCTGCTTCCCCTGCTTGTTCCTGGTATTCCGAGCGGCGATGGATGAAGTATCCATCCTTGGTGTCGTGGTTTCCATCACGGCCCTGCCTCCGCCGTGTATCTGCTTCACGCCCAGCCCGTGGCGACTCGTGGCACGTGTTTTCCACAGGAGCCCGTGCGGCTGAGCTGCCCGAAGGCTCCTCTCGCCCTCTGCGCGTACGCTCACCTGCGGGAGGGCGGCGCATCCTGCCCGGCGCGTGAATGAGGTCGAGCAGGTGCAGCCCGAGAGCCAGAAACTGATACGGCGTTGGCAGAGGCACGGCTGCGTGTTGTAGTTATATGATGCTTCCCTGCTCCTACTGTATGATGTCAGTAAAATTAAATACCACATGTGTTTGTCACCATCTATTCTTGCTTTTTCAGTGAAACAAGAGCTTTCATGAACAGAACTTTTAAAGTCCGTTTCATTTGGAACCTGGTGAGAAACGGGAGGCGCGGATCGCCCTCATTTCACGGGTTACTTCAATGAACGGTTCGGTTCAGGACGTAGGGCAGTGACCCCGTACTGGTTAACGCACCCTGCGGTCTCCGTTGGCTGTGAGAGACCCTGATGAATAAATGTAGCGCAGGCGCCAGGAGAACTGATCCGGTTCTTTGGAGTGTGACTGGATCCCCCTACAGAAATAGACGGGAGGCTGGACGCAGAGCGTGGCCGGGACCTGCTGCTCTCGGTGCCCGGCTCTGGCCTCTGCTTGGCCCCTAGAAAGCCTTCAGCCAGCTTCCCGGGCACACGGCGTGCAGAACCTTCAGCTATTCGCTCCACTTACGCGGGAAGGCTGAGTGAGGACCTGCGCATAGGCCGGGGCCCAGAGGTGGATGTCAGCTTTACAGGACTCTGACCCACCGTTGCCCCAGTCGGGGGAGCCGCAGCAAGGCAGAGCGCGTTGGCGGTCAGCAGTGCCAGCGTTGCTGAGAGCTGTGGTTCTGCCTGTGCCCCGAGTGCCCGAGCCTGTGCACCGCGGCTAGAAACGCCTCGTTCTCATCTCCCCTGCTGTGCTCTGGGACCTAAGGAGCACACATCCTCCGCAGCGCTGAAGCAGCCTGGAAGGGACTGGGCACGACTTCCTGCTGCGCGTTATGCGTCTTTTCTTCCCCTCTGCCAATTTCTAAGGAGTTGTTTGGTGAAGTGGCTGCGTTCCCGTTGCTCTGGGAAGCTCCTTGTGCCCGTCTCCTTAACTGCAGGGAGAGTTCTTTCTGCAGCGCATACAGTGGCTCTGCCCAGAGCCCCTTTGTGACTTGCAGTGCCTTTCTGCTTCACTTTGATGCTGCTCGCCTCACCCGGAGGAGAAGAGGTTAGGGAGATGTTTCAGCCTGGGGGAAGCTGTTAAAAAAAATGGGAATTTCTTATTAGCTTTTCCAGACTGTAATGATCTTCCAGGACTGTTTTGGGAATAGCCAGAAATCATATTGTCTTGAAAGAGCCGCTGCCTGCCAGCGTTGATGAACAATTGGGTATTGTTACGGTGCGGTACCCTGATTAATTCTGCTGGAAGTGCTAACTTCATTCTGTATGCAAATGAAATCGACCCTCTCGCGTAGGGGAATATCAGCTGAAGGTTACGTTTATTTGCTGGGTAGGGACACTGGGGACTTGTGTGAATGAACGACATCCTTCTAACCGTTATCATGGATGAAACAGGCCGGTGGCGCCTGCTTCTCTGCCGTGTGTCGTGTCCCTGGGTCTTGCCTTCCCAAACTGACGCAAGAACGCTGTGGTGCCCTGCTCCCAGCCCGGGCAAAATCACGGCAGTCGCGGCACTGTTCCTGCCGCGGCCCTTACTGCTCCCCAGTGGGCTCCGCATCCGCAGCCTCCTCGCATCCAGGACCTCGCCAAAGGATTGAAAGTCCATGGGTGGCTCGGACACGGTTCGGTCAGATGCTGCCTCGCATGTTGGGACAAATCCGTCGTTCTCTGGGAACCTCTGACGCGCTGGGCAAGTGGTTTGGAATTGAACCCGCACTTAAACATTTCCTTTTGCAGGGATTTTCTCTTTCTGTGGAGTGAATGCTGAAAGGTACAGTTGTACTTTTTATGGAGATTATTTTCCAAGAAGGTCAGTGTTTAAGCCGGGATGTCATGGGTGTAGTGCTCGCTCCTCCCGGCCCTAAAGGTGCTGTATCTGGACCTAAGGGATGGCTTTTTTAAAGGGGTGTGTGTGTGCACACGTGGCTTTTCCTCAGCAGCTTTTCCAAACCTCCTTAGGCACCTCCTGGGCAGCCGCTGGGCAGGTTGAGGGAGCAGTTCCCTTAGGCCTCGCTGCGGCAGCTGGCCTGGGGACCTGCTGGAGGCTCTGAAGGGTGCAGCTTGTCTAGTACCTTACAGTGACCATCCCTGTGGGAGGGTGGTGGTGTCGCCCCTTGTAGGCCAGGGGCTGTCCCGGGAGCCTGCGGTGTGTTACGAGCAGCGGACGGTGAATTTTGTGGAGGGATAAGTCACACGGCAGAAATGGGGACGCTAGGGCTCTGCTTTTTGCACTGACGGCGGCCGTGGTGGCGTCACGCGCCTTGAACAGGTCGATGTGGTGGTTTAACTTCAGCCTGCGCAGGCGTTTATTTTCAAAACGGGGCAGTCCGCGTTCCCCCCCAGTTGTAAATCTTCTCGTTTCTCTTTCAGGTCGCTCTCTCAGCAGTAGAAATGGACAGCAGCAGTTTCATTCAGTTTGATGTGCCCGAGTACAGCAACACTGTTCTGAGCCAGTTAAACGAACTCCGCTTGCAAGGGAAGCTGTGCGACATCATCGTGCACATCCAGGGACAGCCCTTCCGAGCCCACAAAGCTGTCCTAGCTGCCAGCTCCCCGTATTTCCGTGACCATTCAGCGTTAAGCACCATGAGTGGCTTATCAATATCCGTTATCAAGAACCCTAGTGTTTTTGAGCAGTTGCTTTCTTTCTGCTACACGGGAAGGATGTCCCTGCAGCTGAAGGACGTGGTCAGTTTTCTGACTGCCGCCAGCTTCCTGCAGATGCAGTGCGTCATCGATAAGTGCACGCAGATCCTGGAGAGCATCCACTCGAAGATCAGCGTGGGGGACGTCGACTCGGTCACCGTCGGTGCCGAAGACAATTCCGAAAGCCGCAACGGAGTTAAAGACAGCAGCTACTTCGCCAACCCCATTGAGATATCCCCCCCGTACTGCTCTCAGGTGCGGCAGTCGGCAGCGGGCAGCGATCTTCGGCTGGAAACCGCTCCGGGCAAGACTCTGCGTAATCGCCTGCAGGAAGAAGGGCATTCGGACCGAGGGAGCAGCGGGAGCATCTCCGAATACGAGATCCAGATTGAGGGTGATCACGAGCAGGGAGACCTGATAGTAAGGGAAAGTCAGATCGCAGAGGTGAAGGTTAAGATGGAGAAGTCCGACCGGCCAAGCTGCTCCGACAGCTCTTCCCTCGGAGACGACGGGTACCACACGGAGATGGTGGACGGGGAGCAGGTGGTGGCCGTCAACGTCGGCTCCTACGGGTCTGTCCTACAGCACGTCTACTCGTTTACCCATGCCTCGTCCCAGGCTGCGAGCGTGTCCGAACCCTTCGGGAGCCTGAGCAATACGAGTCCCTCGAGGTCGATGCTGAGCTGCTTCAGGGGGGGTCGTGCGCGCCAGAAACGGGTATCCGCTGCTCACTCGCACAGCGACGTTCAGGGCTTGGTGCACGGGGCTGACGGCGAGGCCCTGCTGAGTAACCCAGGATACGAAAACAGCCCCCAGGAAAGAAACACCAGAGGCCACTGGCATCCCTACAGCGAGCGGCTCATCTGTATTTACTGCGGGAAGTCCTTCAACCAGAAGGGGAGCCTGGATCGACACATGCGGCTGCACATGGGAATAACTCCTTTCGTGTGCAAGTTTTGTGGGAAGAAATACACCCGCAAGGACCAACTCGAGTATCACATCCGAGGTCACACAGATGACAAGCCCTTTCGCTGTGAGATCTGCGGGAAATGCTTTCCTTTCCAGGGTACGCTGAACCAGCACTTGCGGAAAAACCACCCCGGGGTGACGGAAGGCAGAAACAGGGTGGAGTCTCCAGACAGAACAGCCTTTGTGGAACAGAAAGTAGATAACGATGCTTCAGCTTCTGAAGCTATGGATTCTAGTATGGAAATGCACGCCATGTCCAACACATCCGACTGAAGCACCACGCTCCGAGCGCGACGCAAACAAGCACATTACTAATGCGTTTTTTCAGTCTTGTGTTCTTGTAGTAACCTTCAGTACAACAGCCTGCTCGTTGTCCTGACCCTCCGGAAACCGGTCAGAAAGGGGGTCCGGGCAAGACTACACGCGGCTGCTTTGGTTTGGAAGGAGGCTGGGTTGTTTGCAGCTTTGTTCCTGTTGAAGATGCTCAGAATAGAACAGACAGTGCTGGGGGAGGCTGGGGGCCGTCGGCTGAAGTGTCTTGCGGGGGGCCTGGCAGGACACACGCCCCAGCGCAGAGGGATGTTAGAGCAAGGGCGGCAGCTCTGCTGGATACGCCAGGAAGCTGCCATCTCCCTTTTTTATTTCCTCAATCCTGTTGCTGGCGATGAGCTACACAGCAGTGGGGAGAGAGAGTGCTACAGCTGGCTCCTGCCGTGCGTCACGATGAAATCTGCTGCCTTTTACTGACTGTTTCCAGTAGTTTGTTTATATATATAAATCTGCTTTATATATATAAAACACTTTCACTTTTCCAGCTCTGGTTGAGGTGAAGGTAAAGGTATGTCCAGGTTCATACCGTGTGCCGCTCTCGACGGCCAGGTCTCCTCTCCGTGTAGGATTTAGGATTCAGACTTTGGGAGGATGGTTTTGGGTTTAGAAGAATGTTGTTTGGGTTTCATTTAATTAAACTATTACTTTGTGTGCGGAAGTGAGCAAAGTGAATTACCTTGTTTTAACAGCTTTGCTTTAGAACGTATGTAAACCAAATGCCATGGATCTGTTAACTTATGGTTGAGTTGCTGAGGGGGTTTGTCGGTTGTCTGGAACGCGAGCTGGACAACCGTGGTGCTGACCTTTTTATATATATAGAGACGGACAGATCTATATATATCTATCAAAAAATACTAGCAAACATAAAAGTAGCATTGTGGGTTTAAGTGTGTTTTTACTGGCCTCAGAATCTACCTTCATTTCGTACTGTAGAACCGTACCAGGTAACTAAACTTACCGTCGTTGCTCCTCGGGGTCGCTCGAAGCCCGAGAGCTGGCGTCGGTTGAACGACAGTATTTCCAAGCAGTGTTTAACAGGGCTCTTCAGAGAGCTGCTTTCAGGTGCACATTGACTTCCTACTTAAAGCTCCAGGTGATACGTCAGCACTTGGAATTTGTACCTTTTTTTGTATAAAACCAGCCCCTCGATGGGAGCTGGGAGCAATACGTCTGTTATTTCGTGTGTGCGTATCACAGCGTTGCTATGGCTTCCCTGCTTCTTTCACTGGTGGTTTTCCGCCTAAAGGAGCTGCCAGCAATTTGTAAGACTCTAAATCTTTTTGTTTCACCAAATGTTTTTTTTAAAATGGTGCTAACTTTATTATTTAGGTCAGTATAATGTGTAAAATGTGAAACCTAATGGTAACAGTTCAGCGAAAGAAAAAACCAAAAAAACCCCAACCAGCCAACGAAAGCCCCACCCCAGATGAACAAAACACCAGTAGCTCCAGAGACCGTGCGGGCACGAAGTGGCCAGCGGCGCAGTGTAAAATCCCACCCCATGGCCACATCGCA